AAAGCAACTGATATTTTTAACACGGCGATGTCCTACGAGCTCACAATGTTCCTACTATGCAACAGCTTCTTACTAGTTTAATACTAGTTCATCATTTAGGCATGTAGAATTTCTACTTCCCCAACGAAACAGCTAAATGAAATAAAACTCAATTTTCCGGCTGCGAGAATCTTACCGAGACCCTAACGCACCGCAGTGAAGACCTCTAACCACCAGGACTATCGTTATGATATATGGAAGAATGAAATCTGCGCACTTCAACAGAACTCAGCTGTGTCATACTAGAAGCAAAAACAACATACGAATGACGAGCCAGGAACTTACGGTGCTACAGCGATAACCTCGAACCACTCGGCTATCATGCCGTTGCAACGATCAGTGTCATTTTGCGTACTTCAATAAAACAGGGCAGCCGCGGTCTACCGATATAACAACAACAAGCAGTGGTGGAAATTGTTATTTCTCCCGTTGCTGGTGGCCTTCTTTACAAATAACGAACTGGTGTGATTTCACCTGCAACGCACTAGTATTTAACTAGAGTTTTTGCATACCAGTTGGTTTCCCCTACAGGGATATTTATCACACAAACACATAAATACACACACATCATACCCACATATGTATATTGTATATGCATATATATAATATGTATATGTATATACATTGTTTTCAGATTTATTGTTCGTTGTTTGCATTGTACTGACATATTGAAATTGATAAAATATTCATTTGCCATTTGACGGCCCATGAAGACATGATCATGTCTATTTGGTAATGATCTTCACTTGCTTTTGCTACTGTTGAGGTTGTCCGCCTCAATTGCTTTCAGGCAAAATTTACTATTTCAATTTGGATAGTTGGAAATGAGGACGATTTTTGCCAATGTTTGCACCGTTAAGTGCCAAGCAGTGCTTTGCATACAAAGCAAAGAGACTTTGGAGGGTATTTACGTAAATTTGTCTTTGATTGGTAGTTAGTGAAGAACAAGGCCGCTGGGTGGTCCTCAAGAGGGGCGTTCAGTAACTCCGTATGCAAAATTGGTTTCTTAGAGTTCCCTAGATATCTTTCGATACTATGCCCGACCACTTAACTAGAACACAATTTGTGTCTCGAGAAAGAGCGAGTCGCTTTTGAAAAGCCTTTCCATGAGACTGTTTGCGTGTTTTTCGGGTTTCGTTTGAAATGCTATAAAAATTATATAAAAAATGGTAAAATTATTTTGAATCAAACTAAAATTTCGTGGGTCATGGTGTTATCTCAAGCTTTGGCATTATTGCCTGACATATTTTATTTACTTTTTACCTTTTTTAATTGTTTTTAACAAATAACAAAGTCAGCTATCTGCAATGGTGGCCGAATGTATTGAAAATCATATTACATGAGCGTATATAACTTGCATTCATATGCGATGATTCCAAAAATCATATTTACTTAGTTGTGTATTTGCTTACACATACACATTTATAAATACTTCAGTTGTATATTACATAATTCAGAATAATGAGATTTCACGTTGCGTCAGCGACAACGCCTACACAGCAAGTCTTCAGTAACAGTAGTACGAAAAGGAAGAAAGTTTCGAAAACTTTGGACTACTTCCTTATAATATGAACAGATACAAAAAGTATGCACCGATTTTCAAAATAAAATATTCTATAATAAAATGACTTGAACACCGCCAATAACTAAATTCAATATATATATATATATGTAAGACTTGAAAACTCCAAACCCCAAATGAAAACAAACAACTGACAGATTGAAATAAATACAGTTTTTTTTTTTTCAAAATATTGCAAACAATGAATTTTACTAGAATTTCAAAATAATCAAATAGAAATAACTGAAAAATCCTTCGACCGCTTCCAAGTAGGCAGAAATATCGCCAAATATGTCTCAACAACAGCAAAAAGATGATGAAAAGAAGAAAGACGCGGCTATACCAACGCCCTTGAAATATTTGTTCGGCGGGCTTGCAGCAATGAGTTCTACCTGTGTCATGCATCCGATGGATTTGGTGAAGACCCGTATGCAAGTGGCCTCTGACAATGGCACCAAACACCCCACTCCCATAGATGTGATCAAAACAGCGATAAGAAATGATGGCGTCATCGGTTTGTATAGAGGATTAGGAGCCTCGGTGCTACGCCAATCCATCTACTCAACCACTCGAATTGGCGTCTACACAAGCTTATCGGAATTTTTCCGTGATCGATATCAGAGCGCACCCTCGTTAAATATGATAATATGTATTGCAGCCTTCGCCGGTGCCACCGGAGCCTATGTTGGCAACCCGGCCGATGTAGGTTTAATTCGTATAATGACCGATGCACGTTTACCGTCCGCCGATCGACGCAACTATACAAGTGTTTTCAACGCTTTGTCACGCATTGTCAAGGAGGAGGGCGTACTGACGTTGTGGCGGGGCGCTGTGCCGACAGTGGGTCGTGCTATTGTCGTGAGTGTTGCTCAGCTTGCATCATACACACAATTCCGACGATGGGCAAAAACGAAGCTCGGTTTGGGCGATGGTTTCGGTCTACATTTAGTGGCGAGTATTGGTTCGGGTATACTAACGGCCAGCGCTTCGTTGCCTGTGGATATCGCAAAAACGCGCATACAGAATATGAAAGTAATTAATGGTAAGCCAGAATATACGGGACTCTTCGATGTAATTGTAAAGATTAGCAGGAATGAAGGCGCTCTGGCGCTATGGCGTGGTTATGTGCCGTATGTGCTGCGTGTTGTTCCGCAAACAATTTTGATTTTCATCATTTTGGAGCAACTAAACACTGCGTATTTTAAATATGTTCTGGGTGAGACGTATAAGTCGAGGATTTAGAAGATCTACGAGGAGAATTACTGACCTTACTAAGTGTGAAAATACGCAATAATTTTATATTGCCGTGGTTGTTGGAAATGGAATCTTACTACCAATGCCATTACTTGTATTGTTGAAAACTGAGTTTCGGTATCATCGACCAAACTTTAAGGGGTGTTCGTAGTACTGTGGTTCGTTTAACAGAATCAGGAGCCCTGGTGCTGACTTAGAAGAATTTATTCAATTGAATTTAATTTAGATTATTTCATTTGATTTCATTTCGTTTTAAATGAATTACATTAAATATAATTTAATATAAATTAATCTTCTTCAGTCGAATAAATTTTTATTGCTACACTTTTTCAAAACCAATCGACCCACTGTTCGAAACGTTATGTCTTCGTTAAATCGCTACTGTATTGCATTGGCCGCGTGCGCGTGCGCGTCCGCATCCACACGATTGACTTGTTTATGATTATGAGTAAGAATTATTTTGCATTACTTCATTGTGTTTTCTGTTTGTTTGTTTATTTTGACTTACCATATACGTGTACATATGTATGTGTGTATGTACATAAGTGCATATTTTGCAGGCAATAAAATTGATTGCCAAAAACTTATTACATTTGTTGTTATTTTACTTAAAATATTTTCATTTGCTTAACATACATTCATATGTGCATACATATACACATACATACGTGTACATATGTATGTACAATACATACATATATACATAATGCGCTTGTGTAAGACAAAATTTGTATTTCAATTTAACCTTTTCGGTTGGCAAACATTCTCAGGGCAGAAGAAAAAAAAACACAAAAAGAATGAATGAATGAATGCAAAGAGCAGAGGGAAGAAGAGTTTGTATAAGCACACACTATAAATGTGTCTGTACTTGTGTATATTTTGCATGCCAAATAAAGCGCACTTCATAAAAATTCAACTCGGTGCCCAGCTGCTTCTGTGTACCCATTCGTACACGGCACCAGTTTGTTGGTTGATGGGTCTTGGTGTGCTTCGAGAAGGTTACCCTGTTGTTTACTTACGTACACTTGACGAAAAGGAGCACTTGTTGTTGCTAGTTTACTTATGCATACTCGTATACACTTGGGTATGAGTCTATGAAGTTTGTGGGCGCTCCATTTGGTATCGTGAGCGTCGGTGTGCTGGTCCGCTTGAAAAGTTTGCCGCGTTGTTGCGCTTAAGCGGATTAATGCAAATCGAATTAAAAACAACACGTTCGACTTTGACGGCATATCATTTTATGACTTTCCTGCTTCTTCTTTGGCATTAAGCGTAAAAATCATTAAATAATTCACTACTGGATTTATTGTGGCTACTAAGGAAATGATTGAAAAAGGACCTGCATACGTATATATGGATGTGTAAACGTATATATGGATGTGTAAACGCAATTAAAAAATTTTAGTAAAATCTTTGCTTAATTTAGCAGACAAATTCACTCACACGTATTTGTACGTACACGTATGTGTAAATTTTCGGTTAGACAACTTTGGGTTTCTCGAAAGTTTTATAGAGAATTCTACGTGTGAGCTTTATAGATCTGTGTGCCCCTTTTGACTTTCGTTGAGATTCGCGCACCCACGAAGAGTGAGGCATTTGCCAGCTTCTAGAGTATGGCTCAGAATCATATATTTGAGGTTTCAGCTATTTATCGGACGATGAAGAGAGGGGATTTCTTGTTATGTTCATCCTAAAGAAAGCTATCGTCGAGCTCTTGCAATATAAGCTTAATGCGTCCTAACTGCCAAGTTGCTTGGATATGATATATTATGGAAAGTTGGTAACTTCTTTCGACAAACACAATCATCTGTGAGGAATTCTCTGGAAAATATGAGACACTGTAAAAGGGCTTGACCAAACTGTAATAGCTCACTGGACCAATTAATACGAGAGAGATCGCTCAAGAACAGCCAGTGACTTCTGCCAGGAAGATATGCTGACTAAGCTTTAGTGGTTGAGCTATTTAGATCAACTTAAATTTCTTGTAAATCTTGCCAGATTTCGGTGGTGAAATTCATAGCAATAGTTTTCTCCCTTTCTTCTCACTTCCTTTGGTTTGTCCAAAGAAAGAAAAGATGAGAGGTATGGTAAGAATTGATACCAAACAAAAAGAAAACAAAATTGATAAATACAGGTTATAATGACTTACCTTTGATACTTTAGCATGGCCCGGGGCAACAGAAAACTTCCATTCTCCGACATTTCTCCAGGACCCTTCCTCTCGTGCACAGGTGCAATTTCGTCCGCTGGCACGATGACACTTCCTACATTAACTGTCTCTATGTTAGCTGAACCACTGCCGCCTAGGAAGTCTCGGCCGAGTTCTGCCTCAGACGTTGATGGAGAAGCATTGCGTGAACGCGCAAAACGCGCGCCAATGTGTTGCATATATGTGTAGGTTAATTCCGGTCCGGAATGCTCATGGCGGTTACGTGGATGACGCTGCAAGTAACTATCATCTGCATCGCTGCTGTGACCACTACTAGTCAGTTGAAAACTGCTGCGTGTGCTTTGTGACGACGAAGCGATCGATGAAGCGCCTCGATAAAGCGGCTTAAGCGTGTTGAGTTGTTGGTGTTGATGTTGATGACTATTAGAAGCAACGAGGGACGGTGGCACTTTCATGGAAGCGAGAGAACTTACTGCAATTGCAGATAGGTTGCCGCTCTGACTACCACCAGCCTTTGGAAGACTCTCCTCCACAGGCAAAACTGGGATTGCGTCGAAATTATAGGAATTGAAGTAGGCTTGTTCGCGTGTGTGCCTCATTTTGGCCACCTCTGAGGCGTGGTCATCGAACTCGTCCACGCTATTTGCTGTTCCGACCGGCAGTGGTGGCTTATTGCAAATCGGCATTCTTTTGACGATGGCAGTGCTTGCGGCGGTGTTAGGCGGTAGTGGCGTTGTTGCTGGCGTAAGATGCTTTGGCTTGGGGGCGCACTCTTAGCGGCTAAGTGTCACTTTGTTCGTAGTGCTGGCGATGGTAGTGTGGATTTGTTGTCGTTGTTCTTGGTTCAGGCGACTCAGGTGTTAGGAACACACTTGTGGTGGTAATTTTGGTTGCGTTTTAGTTTTTGTTGTACTTTCATTGAAGTTATTTCCAATGGCAGCCGATTCGCGTTGCTCGTTTATCTGGAAATGAAAAATAGTAAATATGAAAATATTGAAAAAGTAAAAAAGATAATTATTCATGTCACTAATGAAAGTAATTTAAAAAATATTTTTTGTTTGCCAAAATTTTCGCTTCATTCATTATTATTCAAAAAATTCTTTTGTATACCCTTCACGCATAAGTGATCTTCTGTTAACCTCGGGCCGGTATTTGTCTTATTAGGGATTGTGAAGGATATGGATGAATCGTTTTATTTAAGCTTAAGCATGTCCTTTACCCAATAAATTTAAAAAAAATCGCATTTTCATTTTCATTCATTCTTCATAAATGACTCATCGTTGACTTATCAACCCTTATTTTTCCAAAAAAGTTTTCCTCTTGTCATTACCTCAATAACTTCTTAAAACGTTAAGCCCTTTCGGCTACCGATCTCTTCGCAGAAATACCCCAAGATCAACACGACAAAAAGGAAGATTTTTCATGTAGAAGATAGCTCCTTGCCCAGGTCAATATATGTATGTAGAAAACGCAAAAGCCAATTAAAAATGGTATAAGAACCATTTTGAAGTTAGTAGAATTGTAATTGCGGAATATTTGTGCAACTGAAATGTGGAAAAATCTCAAATTAGCCATCATTCGTGAAGGGTGTGGATTCCTATTTTCTCTGCATTCCATTTCATTAATTTAATTTCTGCTGTTAATGATAATTTCATGCGCTTGCCATTTTTTAATTGGCTAAAGCTCCATGGGAAGAAGGATCTGCGGGTTTGGTTTGGAGCAGCGCAAAGTCGGCTAAGCGTGCTATCTGAGCGAGTGTGCGCTGGCGTGAACAAAGCGAGGCAGTAGCGGTGTGCTGCAACTGCTCGGCCGACTGGTGGCGAAAACCATCAGCCTCAATGGACGCTGACTCGCTTTTGTTAAAAAACTTGGCAAATTTGTTGTTGCCTGTGTTTCCGAACTGGTTTTGCTTAAATGGATTGGCGGTAGGCTCAGAATGTGCACAAATTACGAGCAGACAGACAGACGCAATAGGTAAGCGTAAATACTTGTATACACTTGCACATATACATACACATGGGGGTATGCACCCATCTGTGCATGAAACACTCCATAGTCTGCGGGTGGTTTTCGCGTTGCACTATTTATTCCGCTTAATTGGCTATTTTCTTGTTTTACTTTTCAGCTCCCGGTTGGCGCGGTAAAACGGATGTGAAAGGGGTCGGCTTCCCATAGATGTTGGGGTTTTGTAACTTATGCGTTCGCTTATGCTGTTTGTCGCACCGTTTATGCATCGATTTTTTACTTTTATTTTTATTTTTTTTTTGTTGTTTTTAATTGAGTCAAGTTTTCGGGTTGGAAGAGTCGATTTTTAGCTTTGAGCTGGTTTAATACTTTTTCTTCGAAATTGCTGGAAGATTAATTAATAAAAGTATAGACAATTAATTGTTTTAACTGTTTATTTGATAAAGAATACCAGTTTGCGCGAACGCGTTATACATTCACGAATGAACCTAAAAAGTCTGGTTACGGAGAAAACGAGTGCACGCAGTTAACTCTTACCGTCGTTCCCGCATACTCTCATGCATCATTCATTATCATTCATCATTAATTGGCAAAGGTTCTCTATTTACATTTATGAAAGCGTTAATAATGCCAATATTCATACCTACACGTATATCAATTAAAATCACTGGCCGTAATATACATACAAACATTTTTCTTACATATATCAGATCAAATATAATGAATTCTACTAATTGATATCCTCTTCCAATTTTATTTGACTTATATTCGATTTCATTACAGAATTGTTTATGGCTGCTGGAGTCGTTGGCATTTTTTCGCATTTAATTTGCATTTTAATTGAACTTTCTAGTATTTGCAATAACAATAATTGTCGCAGAAAGAAAACATACACACTCACAACTTTGAGCTGACTAGAAGAAACAATTACGCAAGAAGTGGGAAAAATAATAACAACAAGCGAGGGAATGGAAACTGGTTGTATGAATGGATTTGCACTCACTTTTGTATAACGGACTCAATGTCCGGTTCAAGACTGAATGACGCACTCATGTACGTGTACATACCTAAGATACTATCACAATTGATATTCGATGAAAATGAAACTTGCATGAAAAAAAAAATTAATTATTTATTATGCAATAGCTCTCGCGCGATATCCTGGGAAAATTGTTTGCGGTGTGTTGTTTCTGGTTTTTCATACGTAGATTTAGACGTATTTGACTCAAGATCTGACTGTCAGTGTTAACATACACGTATGTCAAAATGTGGAATAAAGGCGAGTGCGCATATAACATTTTCCTCCCTTAACTGAAACTGAAAATGAAGAGGCCTTACGAATGAGTACCTAGTTTAAGGCTACCGACAGTTTCACTTCTCGAATACTAAATTTAGGGATATCAAAAGAGTGTTGTTCAAATTACTGTGGCCAAGGTACAATGAATAATTGGATTATACCGCTGAGCATTTTGATTTAACTGTGTTCAACTTTCTTAAAAAATATGTTCTTAAGCACGTTTGACTCACGCTGTATGGGTTTCCGTTTACTATGATGATTAAAAATATGATTTCTGGAAATAATCAGACAATTTCCAATTTGTTCGCTTAAGTTTTTAATCCAATTTTTCTCCGATCTTTTAAACAACTTTTATTTACCCTTTCAAATTTCCAGGTAATTTAGCCCTGTATAATTTTCTAACTTTATGAAAACAGTCGCAGCAAAAAGGCATCTGACAGATCACCTGATTTAACCCCCCCCCCACTTTTTTGTGGAGTTATCTGAAAAGCAAGGTTTGCGCCAACCAGCCTCAAACTATTGACGAGCTCAAGGCAAACATTCGGGCTGAAATCGACGCTTCAACACCCGAGAAGCTCGGATAGGTAATTGCAAACGCAGAGAAAAGAAATAATTTTGTAATTGCTAATAAAGGTAGCAACCTGATTGACATTGTTTTCAAAAACTAGGACGGAGCACCCTGGATGGGGAACAGGTATCGTTTCCTGGGTATCATCATGGACCCTAAACTGAACTTCACTCTTGACGTTGGTGTGGCAGTTGACCAAGCCCAAGGTATATTGATATTTGTAACACGTTGGTCTAAGGAATTCAAAGACCCTTACATTACTCAAACTTTGTGCACAAAATTATTGAAATCTATTTTGGCATCAGCTCGGTAACTTGGAGCCCGATGTATCAAATCTACTCTGATCGAATAAACTCTATTCAAAAACAAATTTCTCCCTTTGTCAAGTAACTTTGCTTTTTTACATTGAGAAATTTGTTCTCTTATTCTTTCTGATATCATATTCAGTGTTCCGTTTTGAGTGACAGGAAAAGAGAACTATGAAGTTAACTAGCCCCTGCAGTGCTTGTGCCTTGACTCCAACTCACATTCTAACACATTTGATACGCTCTTTCATATTAATTATAGATTGTTTAAAATCACTTGATGACTTTTTGATGAGCTCCTGCTCATCGTGACCCGGTATTAATGTAAACAACGTCAAACGTCATGCGGAATATGCCACTGGTGTGGATAGGCGGGAAGAGTGAAGCCCCACCTGTTTGGATTTGAAAAGATTCATACCTGCATATGCTTTTCGTTGAAATTATTATTTGGAAGAGTAAGAATGACGCCTCTTCAGAGTGGCATCATGGTTACTCACTTTTTACTTCATACCGAGTGGTGTGCCATAGACCCTCGACCATCCAGATCATCCAATGACACCTTAGGATCTTATTCTTCCACCCAATGATATCAAACGATTCTATTCTGTATTCCCAGTGGTGCAAACATGGTGGAGGTGGGATTCGCATTTCCACCGGGTGGGTCTAGAAACTAATCGTCAACTGAAATTTGCTCTCGTCAGAACATTGCTCTGTAGTGTGGGTAATGCAAAGCACTTCGAAGCGTAAGTCTAAGTGGATTATAGCTGTAGGCAGTGACTGATCAACGCAATTCTTGTATTGTACCTTTTCATATGGAGAAGCAGGGCACTCAAGTAGCAGTGTCTTTAGAGTCCAACATATAAATTAACATATGCAATATACTTCGAAATCGTTTGTCATGGAATTTTAGGCAAAAAATGAATTTACATAAATACATATGAGCAATACTATTGTATTTAGTATTGAAGATGTTGCTGTGCTTGCTCCCAATTAGCTTCAAGCAAACTACGGTGCGCCCATAAAAACCTACAGATGCTGATGATTAGCGACTTCTTCTGTGAAGATTTTGCTTTTTAACATCTAATATGTATAAGCAGCAACAATTGCGCAAAAAAGTACGTAAAATAATGATTAATGATCGGTAATTTAAGAAAATTGCATAGCAAAGAAGAAAATGTCATTGCTTGCAATATGTCCAAGCAGAAACATAAAATTGATGGATTTGATTGATGGCAATATCATAAGAAAACTACCTGTTAAATGGGCGCAGGTGGAGGCTATTATGTGGATAGGTCTGGGGTTGAACCCTGTTTAGAACGACATCTAAAATTAAGGAAACTGTCAATGAGCCGCCCAGAGGAGGTCGAAAACTGCAGGTGCCTTCATTTGTTAGAAAAGTCGTTGACGGCGCTCGGCCAAAAGTCGCTTAAGTGGAATTCCATTATTAAATAAATAAAAGTCTTAGCAAGTCATGCAACGTGCAACATACCAAACCGAGTCGATATAAAAAACGAACTGCAACAGCCGTGCAAATCTCAACTAAGAGATAAAGAACCGAAGCGAAAAGCAAGAAAAAAGGTTGGAGTAACTACTGGCACGTTGCGAAAGCCCTAGCTAAATGCCACAACAACAGAAATAGAGGAATTAAACATAAATAAAAGACGAAGAAACAAACAGCAGCTGAAAAGAGGAAAAAGTAAAACTTCTGTGCTGCTTGTTGTTGTTGTTTTACATGTGCACAAAGTGGCTACTGTAATGCTTCAAATGAGCGCTGTTCGAGCAGCAACAACATAAAAACCTAAGGCCATTCGAAAAAAGTCTGTAACA